ATGATTTAGAAGCCAGTTTCTTATATTCTTGGTCGCGCCGGCAGCTTACTACCAAGCCTGTGGGGCGCTGAGCGCATAATACTTTGCTACGATTGGGATCGATTCGGTGTTTTCAGCGTGTAAAAAACCTCTTGAGGAAATCCTGGGTGGTAATCTTTGACCAGCTACAATTTGGACCTACAACTGGCGTTGTCGACTGGAATGATCATGTGTCATGAGGCGTACGATCACCGCGTTTTCATTTTTGGCGAGAAGATGTGTTTCCACACTGAATCGAAATCTTCACCAATGCAATTGCATTTCTGGTTCTGCAGACGCTTCATGCTGTGCAGGTGTGATATGACTGGCTGTGGTTGGATGAGGGACACCAAAAGCCCAAGGCGTCGTGTTCGATGGCACGTTTCTCCCGTTGACCGGATAACAGGCGATTCAAGACTACATGTCTGCGTTTGCTTGAGCACTAACATGGTGCGCAGGAGCAAAGGAAAGTAGAGTTTGAAGTATCAAGTATCAAGTATGACAGGTGAGAGAGCGTCGTTGAGTGGCATCTCAGGCGAGAGTGGGGCAGCTTGCACCCTCGGCTGCATGAGGAACGCAGGAACGCCTGGAGCACTATTGGACGGACGGCGATCTTAGTCAGCACCAGCTGTCAGCCTGACGACAACATCACGGGTAATCACCCCTTCAAGGTCAATTATTGAAACGACGTCACACAACAGCCTCCCATACAGTTATTCTAAACCATGAAGCGATTCCCCAGGTACCCGGCCAACAAACACCCTTAGGAGCGCCACTGTGTTCCAACATTGTCCTACATCCATCCAACTCAAGCGCTATCAAGAGCGAAAAGGGCGTGTAGCAGCCTATCGGTCACAAGCGACTCCTAGAGGGACAATTCTTCAAACGTCCAGGATGGAAGGAAAACGAAGGGTCTGGTATAGGCCCTTAAAACACCAAAGGGCCAGCGCTTTCCAATGAGCGACCGACAGCCTGCGATGATATTTCTCTGCGCTGTCGTGTCTATCTGTGGAAATGCGCCGATGAAAGGGTACTTTGCGTAAGAAGTCCACAGGTCTGGGTGTAAGAATTAATATGCTGATGCTAGCATGTAATAACATGAGTAACATAAACATATAATAAGCAGTGTTGTAGATATATGCAACCAAAGGCCCTTAATAAGATTCGAGCTGAAATTTGTTTTCCCTGGGTATCTCGTATGTGTGATATCGAGTATATTGTAGTAATCAGGTATCCAATGCGTAGACTTGCGCCCTTCCATGATGACGATGATGTTACTACAGCAACACTGCAAGATGCTGGGACATATTGCACTGTGATTTGCTGGGAGACGCAGATACCATGTGATGTGCTGATTGGCTAATCGCTTTCACTGTCGCTACTGCTATCGCTGCTGCTGCCATTGTCGCTGCTGCTGGACGATGAGGCGTCACTGTTGGTACTCTCACCGGAATTGGACTCTTCGCTGTCAGACTCCGAATCTGAATCAGAGTCGGAGCTCTCGTCGCTGCTACTATCCGAGCTGCTTTCATCACTCGATACCTCAGTCCTGCGCTTCCGCTTCCGTGCATCTCGTTGGAGAGGAGCGACACTCTTCATCATAGGATTGATGCTGGAGTGCTGATTCACAGCTGGCAGGATGGGTGCAGCTCGTCCAAGCGCAGCCAACAGTGCTTCGGCGCGCTTCCTTTGCAGGCGGCGAATGTAGCCATCGCCGTGGGGGTGATGCATGAACTTCTCGACGTCGGCTTCCGTTCTTCTTCGCTTTCGCTGTTGGATGATACGTTCGTGCTCTGCCTCTTGCTCTGCCACTTTGCGAGCTTGAATGTCGTCCATGGGTTTCTGCGCGTCCTGCTCGTCCAATTCCTTCAGGGTTGATAGGCACCGTTCCCGTAATCGCTCAATGACACCAGCACCCTTGAGTCCGGTTAAGTACTCTGAGAGAGCCTCGGTGTGTTCGTGAGGAATCCGGAAAATGCTGAGAGCGTTGTCAACCACGTCGTTTTGCTTGGCTTTGTTGAACTTCCAGTTATCGCGGTCAGAATAGTACTGTGTAAGATAGGAAATGTAAACAGCTGGATCCTTCTTCTTGCCCTTTGTTGTATTTGGGGAGGGCGTAGATGCAGAGGCCACTCTTGACGTCGATGATGTGTGATTTGCAGGTATAGAAGTATTCTCTGCAGGGTCTGAAGCCGTCACGGAGGTATCCTCTACAGCAACCTTCTTGTCCAATTGCCCGTTCTTACGTGCAGCCTTTTCTTCCTCAGCAATCAAAGAGTGAAGAGTGAAATTTGACACGGCTGGGGGCGCGGAAACATCTCCTGTCCCCTTTTGCTCGGCGACCCACTTCTTGAACAGCTCTTGCCCGCTGTTCCCGTCAGAGGTCTTGGTGTCGGGGGTAAAAGCAACAGATTTTCGGCGGTCGATTTGAGATGGAGATGCTGAATCAGATTTTTTGCGGCTGGTATCCTTCTTTGATGGTTTCTGGGTACTGCTTGGCGCCACGTGGTCCGTCTCTGTTGAGGCAAGTAAAGTTGGCTGCGTAACGGCGTTCGCAGTCTCACTGGGTGAGGGAACAGCTGGCTTGGGTTTTGCATTTTCCTTTCTGCGTTTGGTTACCTTCTCTTTTTTCTTGCGATAATTAGGATCTCCTTTGGGTCGAGCGGCACCTGATGTAGGCTTCTCAATGAGCGCATCAGTTGTAACATGCGCGGTTTCTGAGACGACGGGGATTTCCTGAACGGCCGTTCCAATCTTCTCGACCTCGGGAATATCTGTCTTGTTCCTCTTCGAGATCTGGCCGGCATCTTCAGCTGGCTCCGGTTGGTGTTTTCGCTTGCCAAGCGTTAAGGATTTTCCGTTTACGGGAGCGTCGAGTGGTGATGTGTAATTGTTTCCAGGCTCGACAGGTGCATCAAAGACCGGGACTGGCTCAGGATTGTTGTGCAATGGTTGAGCTTCAGGCACGGCGACTCCGGACGGGTCTTGGTGCTTCAGGGAGAGGCCCAGTCTGCGCCAAGCGGGTACTCTCTGGCCGTCGAGTGACATGATGATCGGATTGGGAATATGAATGGTCTCTTTACATTATGTTCGGGTAGTTTCCGCCTCGTGCATGCCCGAAGAGCTGATATAAGGTTGCGTAGTCACCTGTGGCCGTCTGTCAAAGGTCGAATAAAATGCATGGAACAGAGAATTTCCAGCCTGATCGAGAAGGCGAAGCACGGGCCTCTGGCGATCCCGACTGAAGCTCCAGGCCACCAGCAACGCGTACAACAGCAACCAACCTGGACAAGAACAGCCTCGCCCCTCACTACCGCCCAACTCGACGCCTCTAGAGCCTACGCAGTAAATCTCCTGGAGTTGACGAAGCCACTGAAGACCTCAAATATAAGCACATCGTCGCCGCCATCATGTCTGGTAATTGGCAGTCCTTCCACACCCAGCGCTTGCCCGCTTGCCCGCTTGCTTTCCTCCTGGCCATGTCTTTACCTATGCTAACAGCTATTCCCTTCCCACAGGAAGCGCAGGCTATGATAGACACATCACCATCTTCTCGGACCAAGGCCGCCTATATCAAGTCGGTATGGATACCCCCCACCACCCTTCCTCATCTTGGGGAGAAACACGGTCGGTGCAGTGCCGCCACAGCTCCGCAAGCTCCCACGATTTCCATCTCGAAGCTTATTAACATTGTGACCACAGAGTATGCATTCAAGGCAATCACGGCAGCAAACATCACATCATTGGGCGTGCGGGGTAAAGACTGTGCGGTAGTCATCTCGCAGAAGAAGGTGCCCGTAAGTTATGGGAAAAGGCGAGCGGGGGCATGCACAGGTGGCTGACGTATGGAAACAGGACAAGCTCATCGACCCTGCCTCGGTCTCGCATATCTTTCGCCTCTCACCGTCGGTTGGATGTGTCATGACTGGCTCCATCGCCGATGCAAGGGCGTCCGTGAGCAGAGCGCGGGGTGAGGCTGCTGAATTCCGCTACAAGAATGGATATGAGATGCCCTGCGACGTGCTAGCCAAGCGGATAGCCAACATCAGCCAAGTCTACACACAACGTGTAAGCACTGCATGATGTGTAGGAGGGAGAGAGGGTGCTAATGAGCGGCAGGCATACATGCGACCACTAGGCGTTGCCACGACGCTCATCTCACTGGACTCGGAGTACGGACCTCAGCTCTACAAGTGCGATCCTGCAGGTTACTATGTTGGCTACAAGGCAACAGCATCAGGGCCCAAGACGCAGGAGGCGCTCAATTTCCTGGAGAAGAAACTGAAGAACAAGGAGCATGCAGAGGGCAGCTGGGAAGAGGTAGTCGAGCTGGCCATCACCGCCCTGAGCACTGTACTCTCGGTTGATTTCAAGAAAGGAGAGTTGGAGATTGGCATTGTAGGAGGACCGAAGCTCAAGGGCCAGGAGGGCACAGAGGCCGCTTTCAGGGCGCTCACCGAGGAGGAGATTGACGAACGGCTGCAGTCGATCGCAGACAAGGACTAAGGGCCACGGTCGAACAATTGGGGTTGGAGGAAGGCTGCGCGTCGTAGTGGTAGGGCGCGGGAGCCATGACGCTATCCAAGGTAGCATGCAACGACCTCTTCAGACGTCAGCTGTGCTCGAGCAGCACCATGAATACAGACGTTAGACTGACAGTGTCCTGCATAAGCGCGACTGTGAAGCAACCAGAGCAGATGGAGGACTTCAGCCCTGAATCCACATGGCCTTTGTACTCCATGCCCCTTGTAGGCTAATGAGTCGCAGATCTGATAGCTGCTCAGCTGCAACGACCTGTCAGTACTCAGGAACAACCGCATCGACGTCATGTCACTGGCTCTCTCGCTGGTCGGCGCCGCAGCACAGCCATACTTGTGGCTGACACGATCTTCTGCAGCAGTCTCTCATCCGATGCCGCCCACCCCTGCCAGCTCCCCTTGGCTGCGCTCGTCTTTTGGCTTCCTTTTCAGCGGACGACCACGCGAGAGTCCGCATCGCTAATAATACATTGTGGCCAATGAGCGTCCTGATTGCGGCCGGAGCACACAGCTCGGCTTGCTGCCTTGACCCGATGAGGCCGAAAGGCTTGGCGACACCTGTCTGCTTTGGGCGATGAGGCGCTCTCGCCGTCGCTGAGCTGCTCAAGCACAGAACCACCAAAGGTGCCCATTCCAGCTGTCATGGCCTGGCATCGAAAGATGGGTACCGTGCTTGCTTCCTTCTTGCATGCTGCACTTCCTCCATGACTGACATGGCGGACGTCAATGCCACTATTACACCTCCATATCCAAGCCTCTTTGGCTCAAAGCCTACACCAATCCTCCTAGCGGTCCAGCCTGGTAGGCTGGTACAGCTGGACGCTACTCATGTGTCCAAATGTGGATCTCGGCATCAACGTAGGGGCGGGAGCAGCCCTGTCTACCTCATCGGGCCTTGCCAGAGGCATGCTACACTCATGACATTTCCATTCTGATTGTCTATTCAGTACTTGTATATAATACTCGATGCGCCACTCTTACCTCTCATTCACAAGAGCAAGCCCAAGCTCAGTTCCTTCATCATTGCAGCTTTTCATACACTTTGTCGCCAGTCGACTTTACCGTTTCTCTCTTATCATCAACATGTCCGACGGCCGTAAGTCTTGCTCTATTCAGTCTTCCTAGTACAAGTCGAGCCCTGGAGATTTCTCTTTATCAACTCCGTCACTGACACGATCTCACAGTCAACGATGCACGAGCTATTAGAATAGCAGAGATCATGACGGATTTCAGAAACCTCCAACACTACCTGGTTCAACTTCGGCCCATGCCTACAGCAGAAGAGTACTATCTTGAGGGCTACTCACTGCTCCGAGAATGCACAACCGAAGCTCAATTGACCCTGCAACAACCATTTTCAGGCAGCGCAGGCGCTGCAACAGGAGACCCAGAGCAGGAGAGGCAGCAATTGAAGGCGTAAGTCACCATGATTACCAATAAGTTCGACCAAGATAGTCGTATTTGCTGCTGGGGACTTCCACGCCGAGTTTGGAATGCGGCTGAGACAATCCCTGAAGATCAGCACGCTGACGTCAGAGCACAGTATCATCACAGACGCAGCTGTACGCCGCTTCCAATGTCAACGAGCCTATCTCAGAGCCAACGCTGGACTCCGGTGGATGAACAGTCGCAACAGCATCCTGCGTGGACAAAAGCCCAATGCCAGTCACCTCGGATTGCTACAGCAAGCTGATGCCACGCTGAGAAATGTAGACAGGCCACCAGACCCGCGACTCCAACGAGCAGAAAAGCTGATTCAAAGAACCCATTAGGAGCTACGCTTAATCTCAGACAGTTATGTCGAAACCACGCTCCGCAGCCAAGACGCGACAGCGGGCAAATGGCTCGACGAAGACCCTTCACTCCCTCAGATCCAGCAGATACTCATGACACGACGATGAAAATCTGCGATCCCGACGCGCAATGCACCACCCTATACGATCAGGGAACCAAAATGCTTCGATGAATCTTCGACCTGTTCAGCTTGATTCAGCCGCACTCTTTCAACGGCCCCCAAACGATACTCCCCCACCTCTCCATCACCAACATTGCGCGCTCGCTGCCTCGGTGTTCCCCGCGATATCAAAGTCATGCGTTGCATCTAGCCATTCACATGTGCTCCCGACCATATCCATCACGCCTAAAAACCCAAGTCCAATGCTCCATCGGACATGCCGTTGAGCCAAAGGCCCGCAGGCCGTTGGTATTTCACTGGTCTAGTGCTGGTCACTATTCATGTCTGTTTATTTCTTTGGCTTCCTTTTCCTGTCTTAACCGAACCAGTTTTCCATACATGTACGTACACGATAAAGCTTGAACTTGACTTTTCTTTTGCAGCGCGACTTGCGAAGCGACGAGGTCGTTTGTGTTGGCGTTGGCGTTGGCGTTGGCGTCGGTGCTGATGTTGGTTCCTGTTGGCGTCGGTAACGCGATTGGTCCAGGGGTATGGGGTGGGTTTTTTTCTAAAGCTTGCCTGGTTGGGTATTGAATGCCATGTACTACTGCTACTGCTGCTGTTGCTGCTTGCTGGGATCTGCAACGGCATCTATTTTCATTTTTTGTTATCTGGGGGTTATTGGGAACGGGGAAGGAGATTTTTTGGGGGTTGACGATGAGCTGTGTTCTTCCTTCTTACCCTAGCTTCATGGTGAGCATGCTGAGAAGTCAAGCAGAGAGCAAGAAACCAGGGGTTTGCAAACTGCAAAGTGATTTTTTTTTCTGGGGCGGAAAGGGAGGATCCGGAAAGATGGGTCCGGCAGTTGACGTAGGAGGACACTTTCCCGGTGCCTTGGTTTTTTTTAAAAGACTTTTGGGTGGCATGATTGTGGTTTTTGTTTGGGGGGGGAGGGGAATTGTGTTTTGATTATTCTTCTCTGTTGATTTGGGAGGAGATTTTGGGCGGGTGGCAGATCTACTCTGGGTGTGTGTTTTTTTTTCTGGCCAAACAGATGTCTACATGCTGTGCATATATGTCCACGTGTGCATGGAAAAAGAGGGAAGTAGTCAAGTTCTTCGACTTTCATGGTTAATATAATATGTACCATTTCCTACTGTGCCTCGTCTCTAGCATAGTTGTATATTCATACCATGGAGATGATAACTGCCAACACCATTATTACCTATCCACCGTGCCTACCCTCCCCTTGTCACCTTTCACACACACTTTCCCAATCCAACAACCCTCCTCGCTTACCCACTGCCCCCCAATCGGTCCGTTTCCCAGCCCTATCCATCCACCAGCTCGCATGTGCTGTTTACTGTATAGCTTACCTTGGCTTGGGTACCTGTCCTGCCCTCGCACCTTCACACCAAAGATTACAGTAGCCTATACAAGTAGTATTCTGCGCGATGGAGGGACCTGCTTGAATGTGGGTCTAGGCGTGAGTGTGGCTGTGGTGTTTGTGTGGGGTGGTGGGGATGGGTGGAGACTAGGAGGGAAGGGGAAGGAGCTGATGAGCGGCTGCGTATGGTGAGGTGAGGAGGGATGGAAGTATTTACTGTGTAATTCAATTGGCGGTGGTTGAAGATGGGATGGGGGGTATATTGGTATTGGGGGAAGATTTTTTTTATTACTACTGTTGCGTATATTCGATGAGGTACCGGTAAGTAGGCTGCGTTTTGAACTGGTCATAGATGGCACGTGACTTGGCTGTGTGCTTGGTAGCTAGTAGACTTTTTTTTTACATCGAGATGACAAACAAGATGACGACCTTGTGCTGCTGTATATTGACCTATTTGCCTGTGGGCGTCTATGCGCTGGGTTAGACTGCCTGCAATTGGCTGTAACAACATCGAGTATTTGCGGCGATGGTGATACAATCACGTTCGCGTTCATCATGGTAGGTACAGATACTCGTCGTAAGTGACAATCTCGATACGAGAAACTTAAGCAAGGAGGCCCTCGACAGGTTGTGCGACGGCTTGTCATGGCGAAGTCACCGAATTCTTGTCCCAGATCATGAAAGCCATTTCTGAAACAGGATCAGCGCGTGAGTGAGAGGAAAGCGATAATAAGACTGCAAGTCATTGAAACCAGTCCAGTCCCAGTCCAGTAGTACTACTATAGCCGGTATGTATCACGAAAGTAATGGTTCATGGCTCGCTGTAGAGAGTACTCTAGAAAATGGCCGGCATGAAACGAGGGTGTGCAACGTCGTCAAGCGACCAAGATCAGGTGTCATCCAAGCTCCTATCCGGATGAAGCCGCACCGCATGTCCATACCGGTGCAGTAAACGTGCGCACAGCAAAGCCACACACAAAGTCGAGTCCAGACCTGCTGATCGTCGCCACGGTCAGAAATCCCCGAAACGCAAGGGCGACCCCCAGAATCATGGTAGGAACAGAAAGAGCGTGTGTGGGCTGTGAGTGGCTGGAAGTGGGAAATTGCAAAAAAGGGACTTTTGCACGCCAAAAGAGCCAAAGAAAAAAGGGCCAATACGTTTAGTGGCTAGAATTGGGGCTCGGCTGCCAATTCGCCATGTTTTGTGATGGCGGGTGTGGGGACGTTTGGCAGGACAGAGAGACCGAGTCTGACGAGGTTGCCAGGGGGAAGAGATTCGAGAACAGGTTGTACGACTCCAAGACAGTAACTCGGTACCGTATACATACATAGTACCGTGGCTGGGCCGAGTGCTCGGTGAGGTGGTGGCGTCGTGTGATTGATGATGCCCACGGTCTGGGTCCAATGCCCGTCGGCTGAAGGAAGAGAAGGAAAGAAGAGAGAAGAAGGATTGGATGGGAATGAGTGCAAGCATAGCAGGAGAAGACGGAATGTGAACGGATGGTTGCACGTGGTCATGCGATGAGGTGTGAAGCCGATATATTGACGGCCGAAAGTGGGTGGAACAGGCGGCCAATCAGAAGGGGCAGAATCTAGTAGCGCTTGTGAGTCGATGAACAGGTGGCCAGGAAAGGCGGGAGGAATAGAGTGCCATGGATGCAGGTAAGCTGCAAATCTACTCTGGGCAATACTTAGAACCAAGTCTAGAGAGAGAGAGTTAGAGTACGAACAAGAGGAGATGCGATCAAGTCGCGTCGTTGTCGTTTCGAGAAGAAGAGTAGCAGCAGAGTCAAAACAGGCACATGCAACAGGTGCCTGCCTACTGTGTGTACTAGAGAGAGGTACGTTGGGTATGCATGTAGTATGCACAACTGAACAAGACTCCTTTCTACTACTATGCAGGCACTCTTTACTCTCTACCTAACCTACCTGGTTATCGATCACGGGAGTACTTCTCTCTCTCTCTCTCTCTCTCTCTCTCTCTCTCTCTCTACATGTCTTGCCTCGTACCGTTAGGCGTTACAATAAATAGATTAGCTTTCGTGATCATTTTAGGTACAGCCGCCCGCTGCTCCCCTTCTTCATTTCATGCAAGCCCTTCCCCTCACTGACACAACTGCCGTCCTAGTAACTGTCAGTTCCCTTGCGACAACCCAAATTCGTCTGCTCCGACATCTTCCACCTTGGACCTCTATTTGTACAAGACACTTTGTTCTCGTTGTTGTTGTTGTTGTTGTTGTTGTTGTTGTTGCCAGTGCACGTCGCAAGAATCTAGCCGGCGCGGGACGAGACGAAACACGCGCGGCCTGTGTGTGGGTGAGTGTGTGAGTGAGAGGTGTGGGTGTGTGCGAACCAGGCCCCCCCCCCCCCCCAACAAGCCAAACAGCCTACAGCCTAGTACCAGCCCCAACAGTCAGCCCTCATCTCCCACTGCGGCTCCTTGCTGCGGGCCTCTTGTCAAACCACCTGCACACATCTGACATGCTCCTTCTTTGTCCCGCTGGTCGTCCATTCTAGTCTTTCGAGTCTTCCAGTCTTCCTAGTCTCTTCCCATTGTCACTAGAACCCGTCACTCGTTATTTTGCTTTTTGTTCACGAACGCCTCGCCCGCTTCCTCATTCGCTCGTTAGCGCCTGCCTGCCTTGCGCTGCTCCATCCTTCTCTCCCCCAAACGCCTGCTTTGTCCCCCGTCGTCGATCACCAAGCCATACTTCCGCCTTGTAGTCCGCTTCTCTCGTCCCCGGCCCCTTCTGCTCGACAGCCTCACACGTCGTTGTCGTCTCGTGTGCCCGAATCCATCAAGAGCTGGCTTCTTTCGCCTCTTGCCCTGGGCCTGTCGATCCCCTGAATTCCCCCCCGCCAAACACCCAACCTCACCACCATGTCGGCCCGTGCTCGAAGAGGTGAGCCCAAACACAAAACCATTCTCCCTCGCCGCCATCCAGTGGGCTGACCAGCTTGTAGACATAGAAAACATTTTCCATCTAGAGAGGCGATGTGTCGTATGTCCATCCAAGGACGCGCTCTCCTGCGATGGCCTCGTCTGTCCGTCGGGCCAGGTGTGCGTCCAGACTTCGGAAACCTGTGATGCCTGCGCGTCCGTGGGCTGCGCGGTAGATCCCATGGCAGGCGCCAAAAAAACCGATTCAACCAACGTCGGTGCCATAGCCGGAGGCGTCATTGGAGGAATCGCCGCCATCGCCATCATCACATTCATCATCTGGAAGTTCTGTCTCAAGGGCAAGAGGAGGCCAATTACGGAGAGCGACTGGCAAGAGGTGGACATGGCAACACAGCAAGAAAAGGCCGAGACCGACTTCCAGTCGCGACGAAGTGCACGCGCTTCGACACACACGGTTGCCTCGATGGCTTCCTCTGTCCTCACCCGCGCCTCCAACATCATTCAGATCGCCTACATTCCCGGTGTCACGAATCGCTCAGGACCCGGATCCCCCGACCTGCTCGTTCCTCCTGTACCCCCGATTCCCTCCATGTCGCCTTCGTCGGCCATGAGCAGCCCCTACTCTGGTTCCGAACAGCACTTCTTTGTTCCCGACTTCCGCGACTCCATGGCATCCTACAGCACCGCAGGTCGTACCAGCATTGCACCGAGCGTCGCCCAACGAGCCAGTGTGGCCTCGACCATGTACCGACAAAACGCCATTGTGTCTCCACTACCAGCTCAGACCATTGTGCGCGGAAAGGCGGCTGTTGTCAGTGTCAAATCCACTGGCTCCAGCAGCCCAGCAGACACCCCTGGAGCGGAAACACCGCCTGTACCGTCCATTGACTCCAAGCACACCATCAAGCCTATCCGCATCGCCATGCCCGGTATCAGTCCTGCAAGCTCGGTTCGCAGCACTGCCCAGCTCGGCCCCGTTCGCGCCCTGAACATCACCAAGAAGAAGTCGACCGAAATGACCCCACCAAGAAGCGCAGCAGGCTCCACCAGCAGCGCCGACCGAACCCTGGTCAACACACCCAACGCACCCGACGTCCTTGTCCCCACCCCCCGACCCATTACCGCATACTCTCTCGCATCCACTGATGATGGCACCCTGCATTCACGCGCACGACGAGGAAGTCTTGCATCGGAAAACTCAGACTCGGAGTCGGAGTCGGAGCACCAGCGCAGCAAGCAGACCCTTCTGGGCAAATCGACCAGCAGTGACCGCGACTCGGACCGCACCACGGAAACCCAGCAGACACCCACAGGAAGCCAAAGCCCATTTTCAGACCACTCCTCGGTCGATGCCCCGCGGCCAAACATGTCGCAGCGCATCACTTCGTACGATACGGCCCGTGATTTGCGCACACCCATGACGCCCATTGTCGAAGAATCCTCTGCATCCAAACGAGCCAGCACAGCGTCGCATCTGCGCGATCAAAGTCCCTTTTCCGACGACAATCGGAGTAACTTGTGATTGATGGGAGACTTGTGTACATGGACGGGCTGCAGGTAGACTACGGTGTGGATATGGATCCAGATACGACCAACCTTTTTCGGCGTTTTCATCTTTTATTTCTTCCCCTCGCCTGTTTCTCTTGAAGACGGTTGGGTCTGGGAGGAGAGGTAGCGGACAGGGGACTGGATCCCGGGCCCCCCTCTTGGCCTTTTTATGCCCCATTGCTGTTTCTTCTGGGCCGGGGTGGCGGTGTTTGATGGCCGGGGTTTTTTTGCTTTTGTTCTTCTTTTTCTTCTGGTTTCGTCTGATATCCCCGACATGTATGTGTGTGACTGTGTGTCTCTCTACGTGTGTGTCTTTTTTCCTTTTCCTTTCTTCTTTTCAGGTCAAAGAAGGGGGCTATTTCATCTCTGCTACCTAGGCCGCTAGGCTCTTCTTTATATTTCATGTATGTATCCAACTTGGGGAAGGGAGGGGGGGGGTTGAGATGGTGATGGAGGGGTGGATTGGAAGTGAGATGGAAGATTGTGGCTGAGGGAGATTGGGTTTGAGGAGTGAGGAGTGAGGATTGGAAAGGGAAGTTGACAGAATAGAGGGATTCTGTGTGTATTTTTGTGGATGTTGATGATGCTTGTGCTTGTGCTTGTGCTTGTGATGCTTGTGGTTGGGGTGATGGTAGTGTGGTGTGCTCTAATGGGGTTGATGGACTTTGTACATGTATGGGAGATGAAGGGAAGAGCGCAAATGACACAAGCTTGTTGGAGTTGTCTATATACACGCATGTGTGAGGTTTTTGTATGAGCGGAACTTGAAGGTATCCTCTACCCTGTGTCCATCCACCCATCCACCCTCTCCACTTCCAAACCCCAAGTATCCTAAAATCCTTGTCCCTTTACACAAGACATATCCCCTCTTCCACCTCCCAAGAAAGTACCCCCTCAACTCCCCCGATACGCAGTATACCCACACCCGCCCACCAACACCGGCACATGAAAATGCTCACCCCGTTCCCGCTGCGCCGCCCTCACCACGAAGCGCACCTGGACCTCTGGGAAAAAGGTATCTTGGCCCTTGGCGGCGAAGTAGGGTTCGGTGGTGAATGTCAGGGTCCAATGGGTATCGGTGCCCGGGGGCAGAGCGGTGTAGAGGGCGCGCAGAGACGGGGCTGGGTTGGGGGAAGTCGAGGTCGAGGTCGAGGTCGAGGTCGAGGCTGAGGGGGTCCAGGATACGACGCGTCCGTCGGCATTGGTGGCGCTTGTGAACTGCACGGGTTGCTGTTGATGTTGCTGCTGTTGTTGACCCGGTGTTTGAGCGCGATAGGGAAGTAGTGTCAAGGTGACGGGGATATTGGCGGCGGGCCGGCCGGCGCCCGTGTCGAGGACGTGGCAGGTAATTGGGGGTTTTGCTTCGGTTGCCGTGGAGGACATTGTTTCTGGGGGTTCGAGGTGCTGGGTGAGTGCGGTTATGCGGGTTTGGGGTGCGGAGGGGGGCATGCGGGGGTGTTTGTGGGAGAGGGGGGGGGGGGGCCTCGAGGGCGCGGGAAAGTATGTAGAGACTGGTGGGTGAGTGTGAAAGAGGAGTTGGATGTGTAGGGGGGGGTTGTTGGAGGAAGAGAGGGAAGTCGTGACCTATGATGCACCCCCACCTTCTCTTTCTTGCACCTGCCCTGTGGTTGTTGTTTTTTCGTCGGCCCGCTCCGATGCGCCCTCGTCCTCGTTTTGCTGGCTGCTGCAGCCCATGTACATAACAGCCTAGAGGCCGATTACAGCGTGCGTCCAAGTGCGCATGCTGTACAGGACAGCACGTTAAGGAATCTGGCTACCTATTTGTAGTATTGTGTTGCTTGTCAATCTAGGTGCATGATGGAGGAGGAGCATGGCTACTATACTTTGTGGAGCTTCATGGAGAGTACTAGGCGGATGCTTCCATGATGTGCTTAGTTGGGGAAGTATGGTTCCAAAGTCAATTTCTCTTCATGATTCATAGTTGGTTCATGGGCTTATGATAGTGGTTGAGCGCTCTACACTTTCTGCATGGCAGATTGCTCATCACGTGTACAGTGTCAATGTACAGTGTAGGAGTAGTAGTCAGTTGTATTGCTGCGACGACGGGCGGGGACGAGGATGGGAAGCCGATGGGCTGGCTTTTGGATTACCATTTGTGACGAAACAGGAAAGTCCAAAGAGGCTAGGCTAGGGCTGGTAGTTGGTGCATGCATCCGATTCTAGCCCGTCTGATTGGCAGAATCCCAGGCTAAAGAGAGAGCGACTTCTCTTGGGCTGAGAGGAAAGGCGAGAAGACAGTGGGACACAATGGCCTAGTGCCCCCGATCGAGCAAACGAGTGCGAATCGATGGGGGTGTCCCTCCTCGGAACAGAGTTGCGACTTTGTGGCTGGCATTGCATCGAGGACCAGCCTCTGTCTCTGTGTAGGGCTACTCTCTAGAGTACAAGCAGTACCATGGTGTTTGCCAGCCGGCCGTCCCCAACACTGACTTTGAGATGTCATGTTGTCGCCATGTACATACTGCTAATGTGATTGTAGTACATACAAAGTACAGTACTCTACCTATCTAGTAGGAGTAGGATGACCGGCTGTACACGCCCGTCTCTCGTGGCAAGCGGGCTCAAACGGGCTGCGATCATCGGCGGACGGGGGCGGGGGGGAGCGGTGAAGGAGCCTCGGGCTGTGGTTGGCTGGAGAGGGGTGCATTGATTATGAACCCAGAGGAGGATAACGTGATTTCTTGGCAGGACGCTGCGTCACTCTCTTCACAAATTGCTCGCTCGCTCCTGCCCTCAGAAACTGTGACCTCATCGCCGAACGCCTCACTTGTCATCGTCACCACGAGCACAATCCAACCCACCCCCCCCCCCCAGGTTGAGCCTCATACTGCGTCCCAGCAAGCAAGCACGCACTCGCACACACACACAGACACACGCATCCAGCGCAAAAGCCAAAATAGTCGCCAGTCTTTTGGTGTCGCGTGAAACTGTCGCGACTTTGGCCACTGCAAAGTCCTTTTTGCGGACGGGCTGCGAGCGTCTTTTCTGGCTGACGTCACCGTGTTGTGTTGTGTTGGACAGGTCGACAAACTCACCGCAGCACCACCGCCGTGCTGCTACTGTTCGGCGCGCCCACTCGCTTTTTCTGAATAGCAAAGTTCGGTTCGAGACGGCCGTCAAACTTGTCCCGCTGTTGCAGTCAGTCGCAAGTTGGCGTCGAGGTACGTACCCGTAGTCATGTCGGTTGCCCTTGGGAGAAAGGGCTGCTTATGCCATTTTTGCTGTTTGGCTCTGCCCCCTTTTGCCACGCCAATTTCCCCCGCCCCCCCCCCAAGCCCGCCGCTCGCCTGGCTGCGACTTGCGAGTCAACTGCGACAAGCCTGTCCACCATGGCCCTGCACCCAGCCTGTCGTCGCATCGCGCCGTATTGCGCATAGCAAGCTGCCTTTTGACATCGACATCGACATCGACATCGAGTGCGCTGACCAGCTCGCTTGCAGACCCCCTCCCAGGTAAACTTGCCATCCCAGCCCGGCCTGCACGCCGCCCCCTTGTCAGACAAGACAAGTCGCGCGTGGAGTGAGAGAAAGAGGTCAAGGCCCGAGCAGCGAGAGTACCACACAAAGTCTACCACAAGCGATCGCCCTTGTACACAACTGCTACGTCACCACCCACCCACCATGGCTGCTGCTGCTGCAACGCAACCCGCGCGAGCCTCCCCCCAGAATTCCAACATGCCCTCGCCCAAGGACAGCAATGCTAGTCTTCCCGTCGTGACCAAGCCTGAAGGTGTGTACGATCATGTCCTCGTCCTTGCCTTTGCTTATGACCCCCTCTCACCACCTCTTCATCCTTCGCTCCGATTGACATGTCAACTCCTCGATATCTCCTTTGCATTCACATTGCGCGCGCCTCATCGTCACTTCCTCTTGTCCTTGTGCTTGTTCTTCTTATTCCTCCTCTCCCGTCGTCAATTTCGCAATGCCTCAGCATGTAATCAACTAACCATGGCTGCGCCGACAGAAACCTCCAAGCAAGAGACGTCCCCCAAGGTTCAGCGTAAGTCTCTCTTTCTACCACGGCGGCTTCATCGCTGCGTCTTCCACATCCCATGACTGCGTCATACTGACGCAACATGCAGCTGCCACGGTCGAAGTCACCAGCGCTGCCGACTCGAAGCCTGCCACAATCAATGCGCGACCTTTGGCTCCTCCACCAAAGCCTGCGCCTGCCTCCTCGACGACTGGCGATACCCCAGACTACTTCAACACGGTACACAATCCCTTCTCGCTCGAGCCCAACGTCTTTGAACAGTCCTTTGGTACAGGCTCGGGTTCAGTGGAAACGCCCGGCGGCCGTACGATTCTACCTCCTGTTGCGAACATCACATCACCCAATCCACTCCCTGGCATCACACCTGGCTGGCAATCTTTGCGCGCAGGACCTCTGAGCCCTGCAATGCTTAGTGGGCCCGCCGATTACTTCAGTGAAATCAGAGGTTTCCCGACGCCAAACGAGTCCTCCCTCCGTACCGGACTGACCCCTGGTGGTGGTGGGTCCATGTTCCCGGCTCCCAGTCCCAACACGCAAGCCATCTTCAACCTTCAGAGTGCCGGCGTGACCCCTGGCACAGGCGACTTCCAACAAGCTGCCATGCGTGCAGCGGCCCAGGCCCAAGCTAGCCACAACAAAGCCCCCACCTCGGCAGCCCCAACCTCGCAACCCGAAGCAGTAACCGTAGGAATGGATCGACAAAACAATTACCAGCAGTCCCAGCCACAACACCAGCGGTCTCAAAATGACCCATATGCCAATCATGACGTCAGCAGCGCGGCCAACGACCTTCTGTCCTTTGCCAGCCAAAACGGAGGTGCGCGTAACAATCAGCCACCCTTCTCCATGGCGCCCCAGCAGCCCAACATGAACGCGAGCCACATGCCCGTCCAGCCAGTCAATGCGAATCAACATCGTCGCGACACCAAGGGTTCCATCAACAGCATCCAATCGCAGGAGACGGGCGACTTCTCGGAAAGCGGTCAAAGTGAGCAGAACAAGGCCACTCGATCGCGTGGAAAGAAGGCCGCCAACGGTAAACAAAACACTGGCAACAAGCGCAAAGCGGACGATGCGCCCAAGGGCGGCCGTAAGAAGAGCACCGCTGCCCCTTCGGTTGGCGATGAGATGGAGGAGGACTCCGAGGACGAGAATAACATGGTCAAGGAAGAAGAATACGACAGCAAGGGCAAGAAGATGACGGACGAAGAAAAGCGTAAAAACTTCCTCGAGCGCAACCGGTATGTACATGATCAGCTTGGGCGTTGGTTCACTCGTGCTAATGCAAGTCAGGGTCGCTGCGCTCAAGTGTCGACAACGCAAAAAGCAATGGCTGGCCAATCTCCAGTCCAAGGTGGAGCTCTTTAGCACAGAGAATGACGCGTTGTCTGCTACTGTCACACAATTGCGTGAAGAGATTGTGAACCTCAAGACGCTACTCCTTGCACACAAGGAATGCCCAGTCTCTCAGGCCCAAGGCCTTCACGGTGCTGCGATGAACAACTTTCTTGGTAGCGACATGAACCATCAGAATCCATATGGCATTGCTCAAATGCCGCCCAACGGTGTTCACATGATGCCCATGCAGCAAGGCCAGATGATGAACCGGTTCGTATACCCACCCCCTCGGACCTCGAGTGCCGGCGAACAAGAAAACGCACAGTACCCTCCGAAGTATTGAGACCGTAGCTCACCAGCTTCCAGGTAAGCATACTCGGAGTAGGCTTGCGGCGCGGTCCATGCGCGTGCTGCGCATGGACCGATTGGGCCGTCGACTACCTGTCTGTCGTACTGCCCACTTTCTCGGACACGACACCACAAATTACATCATTATAATTACTATGGCCACCCAGTTTCTCTCCTTCCTCGGACCTGGCGTCGTCTGTGCATGGTTGGCGCATGGTGTCGTCACGTGGTCTTTTTTTACGCGTGGGTTGCCAACCCAAGATCTTCTTCCATCTCGTATTCTCTTCCTTGAGTTGGGCGGCGGAAAACAAAAGGATGCGCTACGCGGAAACGAATGTTTTGGTCGACGAATGGACGACCTCTCTCCTTGAGTAACCTGTAGCACGGGCTGTACATATGGATGAAACTTTTGCGACTGGTGTTGTGGCGCATATATACTCGGTTGAGCTCTTTGTTATTCAGCATGCCTGTTGGTCTGCTGCGGCGTTGGCATGGCCTCTTTTTTCTTTCCCGGCGGGCTTTGAGCCTTGCTGTCCTTCTGGCAGTGTGTTAGTTTATTCAAGATTTTTTTGATGGTTTTCCTCCTTCCCCTTTGCCTCTTTTTGTTGTGCCGAGTCTACGGCGACATGGAGATGGCTGGGAAATACATTGATCTTGTGGAGCTTACATGGACAAGTGGGCGCGTATACGTGTCCTTTTTTCTTTTTGGAGACTGGATGTGTGTGTGTGTGTGGTTTTTTGGTTTTTGGTTAGACTGGATCTCGCATCCCTTGGAAGGGTAGAGGTTTAGTCGTAGGGGTTTTGTTTTGGAAAATGGTCAACTAGCTGGTAGCTTGCTTTTAGCGCTTTTGGACAATGCAATACAATAGGAAAGAGATGAGAGAAGAATTGAGAATTTGAAAATTAAGTATATTGACTGGAAGTGACTTGTCTATACCTTTGAATGTAAAATAGGGGTTTTTTTGGGGGGGGGTATTTTTGGATGAGGAGGATTGAGGGGATATCTGCTATCTTATCGAAAAGGCTGGGGTTCCCTTGGGGGGGGGGATGGAGTTTTCAGACAGTTCGGAGGTGAGAGGGGAGGGATGGATGGGTTTTGTTGGGTGAAGTGTGCAGTCTCAAATATTACCCGCGTTCGGAAGAGGCTTGAGTTTTGTATGAGTGACGGCTGGTATTTGTCAATAATATACACTATTATAGCAAACTGAAACGACTTGTCCTGTCCAGGTACTGTTCTTGACGTCTCCGATGTAGCAATAGGCACAGTGCCTCAAACAAACCCCAGATGTATATTCCATATTCCACATCTATACTCGAACAGATAAAACAAAACATCGTCTAAACATCCTCGATTATCACACACTACCCAGGACCAAATGATCACGCGCCTTGCAGAGCAGTCATATCCTCCTATTGCGAATTGCTCGACTCGCCAAATGGCCAGAGAGCTCTCGCACGTTCTTCACTGCCCCCAGCATCCTTCACACTCTCCAAAAACTCGCCGAATAACTTTCTATTCTCTGCTATCTTTGCAGCCCACTGGTCAGCAGGGACCCACCCATCTGACTCGGCATCCAGCGCGCGCTTAAGGAACAGCTTTAACTGCTGCGCGGTTTCGAAATCCTCAAGCTGCTCCTCGTGCTCGCGAAGCTCTTCGGGTGTTGGTTGGTATGGACAAGAGCCGGGGAGGCCAAGTTCTATCCATCCTTGTGAGATGTCGATGAGCTCCTGTCGTAAAGCCGCTGCGCCATCTCTCCAGGAGGTGTCGCAGTATCGGAACAGGCGGAGCAGTGTTTCATCCATGGCCCTTGCATTGTGAAGTTTTGGCACAAAGCCTCATAGCACAACCTCGTAGGTTTGTTGGCATGTTGAAACGTCCTTCTCATATCTTTTCCTTGCTGCTTCTTCTTTCGGGTCTTCCGTCGAGACAGCCTTGGAGGACTCTATATGTGGTGCTTCAGCCTGCATCAGCTTTTCCAAAATTCGGATATCGGCAGCAGGATCCTCAACAAAATCAGGCGTATGGTTGGCGTAGACGAATGCTGGCTCAATGCTTGTAGATTGCCAGTCGATGATTGCGGTCACCTGGGAAGGGTCTTCCTCAGACACGAAAACGTTTCGTGTGTGAATGTCAGGGTGAAGCAAAGTTGGAATCGCCACATTTTTGATAAGTGAACTTTGTGCTAACTCCTGAATAACTCTGCTGCTGCTTTCCAACAGACGGAGATGCTCTTTGATAGAACCGCGATATGGGAGAATGTCTGCTTGTGAATCATGATCATTTGGAACACGTGAAACGCCGGCGTCGATCAGACCCGAGCAGTATGGTTCGAGATCAGGCCCTAGTAATACAAAATCAGTATATAATTTCCATCGGTGCGTAGAAGGGGTAGCTTACAAGGCCCTCTGTTGGGAGGCTTCCTTTGATAAAATCTGGTCTCTCCAGCATTACAATCCCAATACTGTGGGCCGCAATGTGGCCCAATACAAAAACCTTCAACAAACACTGACTTCAGGCTCTGCTTGATGGGTGCGTCGGCAAAGTATAGACTTCCGTACACCGGAAATGGAAGCTTTGCCATCTCAGCCATCAAGAAACTCACGTTCTTTACGCACAACATATGTTGGTGAGGGGACATGGAGGGCCACTTCTCATGTAACTGGATTCCGGCAGCATGCTCCATAATGATGTACTCCGTGCCGATGGAAGAATCATCGTCGCTCCAATCAAGAACTTTGTGGACAGGGATCTCTGTGAAGGAGCGTACTATCAGTGTGAGCTGAGGATTCGGTGTTGGTGGAGATCTTCCGTCATACTGTAAGCCAAAGTAGCCACTTCGGAGTTCGTGATCAATCGTCGTGGACCGGCGATGCGATAGGGCACTCTTGCAACAACGCAAGCCCCATTATCCAACCACAAAAGAAATACTCGGTTGAACCCTCCTTCTTTTTTTCTCGTAACGAACCACTTTCGTTGCGCCGGTGCACACCTTTACAGCTCTTGCACAAAGCGCAGCGAAATCAAAATCCACTCGGCGTGCGTCGCGATGAAGAAGGTCATTATTCAACCAACGCCCAGTAGTGTAGATTTGTGGATTCAGCTCTATAAGTATATTTACTCAACTGAGTGTCTCATGAAGAATCCGACTGTGCTTACCGTGTCCAAACCGTTGCTTCGTTTCCGCCAAGGCAGGGACGTGAAGGGCTCGGCTTGTCGTTGTTGCAAGATCGTGACGGCTTATGCGAGTGGGCCTTAACAATCGTCGAAACTGCTTTAACATGGTATCAGAAAGAGGAGAGTGAAAGCAAGTCTCGGGAATATGAACGCCAGAAGTGGGTGTTTGCAATGAGGAACGAGAGGGAACCCAGGTAGGCACCTCCACCCCGGGGTCCTTGCACAATGAATGCCGAGCGGCTTGGCATTGCGCGACGACGACGGGATGCAATCCATGGGGTTAAGGATAAGGTTGAAAACGTGGATAGAACGAGTCATTTTGTAGAAGGCTAGGTAATTTACAATGTGTGGAAGACATAAACTCTTTTCAGACATCATGAGACCAACTTTCCAGATCCAGTGCATCCATGAACTCATCTATCCACACGCACTCAAACTCATGCCCAAACAACACAAGTCTTTATATTCGATACCAACACAGCCCGGAATCCTCCCATCTGGCTCAACCAGTTACCCACTCGACTCCATAACAGCTTCCTGTACACATATTAGCACACTCTCAATCCTCAGACCCCTCTACTCAACCGCACTTACCCTAGCCACAGCGTATAACGGCTTAATTCCCGTCCAATACTCAAACTGATGCACGCCCTGTCCCACCAGCACTTCGAGACCATTCACCGTCGTCCAGCCCGCATCCTGCGCCAATTGAATCAGCGCCGTAACGGGCGGTTTATACGCCATCTCCAGTAGAATCCGTCCATTGCTGCCCACGTCCGCCTCGCCCTTCTTCGCCTTCGCGAACAAGGCACACAGCGTCTCTCGGATCGCTGGGTCGATGGGCTGGTCTGCGGGAATCGTGCCAATGGCAACTGCAGGCATGGACTCCAATGATTCAACTTGTTCTGGTGAACTGATGATTTGGACATTATATTCTGCGGGGAAGTCGTCTTTGAGCGCCGTTATTTTGGAAAGGTTGCGCCCGAGGAGGTAGATCGGAGCATAGCCCATTTCCCGCAGTGCGTAGATCGCTCCGCGACTGGTGCCGCCACCGCCGATAACGAGAGCGGAGCCGGATTGGGACAGTGCTCCAGCGTTCTTGAGGACGAGAATCATGCCGAGGTAGTCTGTGTTAAGGCCGATGAGGCGGGTGACTTCTTGGCCTGTGGTTTCGTCGATAGAGGTCTCTGGAACAATAGTGTTCAGTGCGCCGATAGCTTCGACTTCTGGACCTACGCCGTCAAGGAGGGTTCGTACATCCTGCTTTAGGGGGATCGTGACACTGGCACCGCCAAAATCAGGGGCGCGAATGATATCGCGGACTGAACTTGCGTCTGTGGTTTCAAAACGACTATAGACATGGGGAAGGCCAGTCTCACGGAAGAGCCTGTTGTGTAGACGTGGGCTGGGAGATTGGGAGACGGGAGAGCCGAAGATGAAAAACTTCTTGGTGGGGATCTCGCCCATCAGGGAGAGGCCAAGACGGATGTCGGCGGCTGAGAGCTGGCCAGGCGCCGTGGCCGAAGGCAGGAGAGGGTGCGATACGGGTGTCAGGAAACCGTTGAGTATCCTGCTGAGCTTTCCGTGTTCACCCATGTTGATAGCGATGAGAGGGACAGGGTGTGCGGTATCTGCCCAGCTCTTGAACTCTGCGAGCGCAAAATTATCTTTTATGGACTGAGCAACACCAACCAACTTGATGACGGTACCATACTGCAACGCGCGGTTATAGTATTTCATCCATGAGCCGTTGCTCCAATTGAGCTCCGACTTGGGGTCGTGATGACTGGCAATGATCTCGGTGTAGCCTCGACCCTCCGACACCTCGCGCAAGATGTCTTCTGACATTGTCATTTCAAGATCCACAAACTCGCAACCAAGTCGTAGCGCAGTCAAATATAGCGCGCGTGCTTCATCGTACGCTGTGTCGGGGAACTTGCCACCCTGAGCCTTTGTCCTGATGGTGAAGATAATCGGGGTGGTAGTAACCGTCCGTAGTATCGTCAACTGCTCGATAACATATTCGGGTGTTGGCAAACCTTCCTGACCGTTTGGATCGACGAGCAAATCAACCCGCAACTCAACAGCATCGGCTCCGACTACAATCTCAGGCAGTGTTTGGATGCATGACTGTAGTTCAGGGGCGGACAAGCAAACAAAGAAAGAATGCTTCTTCTTCTTCAATGCCTTCAACACCGAATTCTTGCCTGTGATCGTGTTCAAGAAGCGCGCAAATTGTGCTTGAGTGCTTGCGAGACCAACCGATTCCAATGCCTGACTGTGGAAGCGGTAGTTACTACACTGATCGTAGAATGGTTTTCTGCGGAGCCACACTGGCATGATGTCTTCGACATAGGCCGGGCGGCTCTTGTCGATTTGCAGAAATTCCACAACTTTGGTGATGTCTCGCGACACTAACAGCACAATACCACCTTGCTTGTGCCAATCAACTAGCACTTCACGAGCTTCAGGACTCTCTACGATGCCGCCGCCGCATGCGAAGACGTAGCCGGTGGGTTTCTCTTTGACCGTCCTCTTTAGTAATTGCAGCTCCTCATCACGGAAGCCATCCCAGCCTCTTGTACTTATAAACTCAGGTATGGTCATACCGACATGCTCCTCTAATGCAGTATCCAAGTCGATCAGCGGTCGTCCAAGAGTCCGCGCTGCCCATCCACCAGCAGTTGTCTTGCCAGCGCCTCGCATGCCGATGATGAAAATCGACCTATCTGCACTTTTCGATGCAGCTTTGCTACCATGCGAATGAGTTGACAATTCCACACCCTCAAGGCTTACTTTGAAGATCTGGTTCAAGGAATCCCAGTAGCCGGGCCACGTCTTGCCTGTACAATCCTTCTCTAAGATGAGCACAGGGGCAGGAGCGACCAGAGAAAGGACAGCGAAGCTCATTGCGACACGGTGATCATCATAGCAATGGATTCCAACCTGTGGAGTAGCCAGGTCATATCCTTTTCCGTCGACCTCGATGCCGTCATCGAATTGCCTGCATGTGACACCGAACTTTGCGAGCTCGTCTTCCATGGCTTGAATACGGTTGCATTCCTTGACGCGCTGGTTGGCGATACCGTAAATGCGGGTGGTGGTTGAAGTTCCGTCGGATGATGCCACAGCAGCCAATACTGAAGCTGTGAGGAAAGCGTCTGTCATGGGTTCCATATCGATCTCCTTGACAGCCTTGAGCTCACCTCTTGGCGGGCCAGTAACAGTCGTCGAAGTCTTTGACTGCTCAACCTTACAGCCCATGGGTCGCAGGACTTCAATCGCGAAGCGGGCATCCCCTTGTAGGGATCCTGAACCAATGTTTGGTACCGTGCAAGTTGTTCCCGTAATGGCAGCAATTGCGAGTGGGTAGGTAGCCGAGCTGGCGTCGCTCTCGACTTCGTATGTTGAAGGGTTGGTGTAAGGCTTGTTGGGAATGTGGTAGGTGTTTGGGTCGCTTGCAGATCGCTCAACCTGTACGCCGAACGATGCCATCATGGCGATGGTCATGTCAATGTAAGGCTGCGAAATGACTTTACCGCCCACCAATCTCAGTGTAACTGGCTTCTTGGAGTATGGGGCGCTCAGCAGAATAGAAGAGACGTATTGCGATGACACGTTAGCGGTCAACTCGATGTCACCAGTGAACGAGTCAGAACCAAATCCGCTGCAGGCCTGGATGCGCAATGGAAGACCACCCTCCTTTTCTACGTACTCAATCTCAACACCCATGGTTCGAAGAGACTTGACCAGCGGAGCAATAGGCCGCTCCTTCATTCGTGCGTTACCGGTAACGATTGTTGATGTGATGCTTTCAACGGGCCGGCAAAGCGCAGTCACCGAAGTGAGAAAGCGTGCTGCTGTACCTGCGTTTCCAAGGTAGAGCTCGCTGCTCGTTGCCTTGAGGTTGCCCCCATTTCCTGTAACGACCAGTACTTTGCCATCATCTTCCCATGCAAAGCTGGCGCCTTGCATCTTGGCAAGGGCATCCAGCATGACTTGAGTATCGTCGGAGTGGAGCAAGTTGGTAATACGGCACGGGCCCGTTCCTAGCGCCGCAAGGACGAGCACTCTGTTGGAGATGCTCTTGGATCCGGGAGGCGTGCAAGTTACATCCAGGTCGGATGGGACACCGGGGTGCACAGCAATGCTCGGAGAGAGGGCAATTTTGATGTCGCGATCTGCAACGGAGCTTGCCTTCTTCTCGTAGGTCCTTCCAATGCCCGATAGAAGGACGATTTTCTTGACTGCGCCAGCATTCTTCTTGTCCACCGCCATAATCTTGATGAGCTCGTCGACTGGACAGTGCTTGTTCGCCGATCGCCTTCGCACAGTTTTATCTGCCAGTGATGTGGGCAATCCATAGCTGGCGATGCACTTAGTCAAGCGGGCAACTGCAGACGGGTCCAGGACTCCTAGGTAGCGCGCCAACTCAGCCTCCTTGACCATGCCAATGGCAACACATTCTCCGTGCAGAATCTGGGGTGTGAGGATGGCCTCATAAGCGTGGCCAATCGAGTGTCCAAAGTTCAACAGGTTGCGCAGTCCACCTTCACGCTCATCTGCAGACACCACTTCAGCTTTGACGCGTACCGAGCCCAGCACTATCCTCTTGAGTATGCTCGCAATCCCATCAAAGTTCCTGCGCCCATGCACAGGCTTTTGATCGATTGCGGCTAGTATCGTGTTCGCATTGCCTTCGAGTGCGGTGAATTCCTCCTCATTCCAGATAGCGGCCGTCTTGACCACCTCAGCCATGCCATTGATAACCTCGCGCTTGGGCAGCGATTCCAGGAACTGCAAGTCAATGTAGATTCTTTCTGGTTGCCAGAATGCGCCGACGAGATTCTTGCCAGCAGGCACGTCAATGGCCGTCTTGCCGCCAATGCTAGAGTCGACCATGGCCAGCAGTGTGGTAGGCACATTCACAAACTTGATACCGCGCATGTAGGTCGCAGCTACATAGCCAATCATGTCGCCAATCACACCGCCGCCCAGTGCAATGATGACCGTGTCGCGCACGCATCCTTGCGACAACAGCCAGTCCTCTACCGCTGCTTTTGTACTCCGCGATTTGGACGTCTCACCAGGCGGGATCTGGTATGTAAGGAGCCGCGGTGTCGTGGATAGCGTCGACGCTGCGGTAGAAAAGGCACGTTCGAAGGTGGGTGTGTAGAGAGGGCCGATGTTGGTGTCGGTGATGAGGACATAGGTTGACGAGGGAATGTTGCTAAGCAGGTCTTGAGCGATATAACCCTGCCATAGACCATAGTCGACAACTATGGAGTCCTTTCCCAGAATTTTCACCTTGGTGGGCTCTACCGATGTTCCCTCCGTCGCCATGGTGGGCTGTCCGTCTAGTTGCGAGTCAGACGTCGCCAGAAAAAGATGGGAAGGGAGCAACCACCAGTCGCAGTTTTCAGTGTGTGTATATGTAGCGAATGTGGAAGAAGCAACGAAGAACAGGCAGTCGGGCAGTTGTACACTTCAGCGCATGGTAACGTGGAATATTTGCTGGTGACTCAATGCGTTGAATCAACTTTTAATTGAGTGAGGGCTGCTTTCTTCTGGTCTGAGCTCGCCGCCCGCACATCGGACCTGGAGCCACGCTAGCTCGCGGGGTGCCCCTCTAACCTATCTGGTCCTGTCATGCTTGACATCACACCTTCAGGCGTCCTCACCTCACCATTACCTGACAAACAATTACACATTCTCTCAGTTCATAGATGGGATGCGTTGAACATCTACGCTTGTGTCGTCAGTATCAATCTGGAGTTCAAAGATAATTTTCCTCTTCGTCCACATCTACATCTTACCCATATTACCAGTGTCTTTCTAGGCATGTTGCGCATGGAATTATTTTATCACCTAGATTTTTCTGCAATAGCCAGTTATATGACACAAGAGACTGGAGGTTCTCTTTCCCTGTTGTATTGGTCACGATATGGCCCATCGTGCTTGACTTTGGTGTCGCAGTAACGGTGATGACAGTCAAAATTATACGGTAGTGCTTCCTGGACCAGGAGTCATGGCCGCCATAGTCTTGCTCGGTTCTGGGTTATGCCAATTAGGACCAGAAGATTCTGTAATTCAATACCACCTGTAATATATTTCTCTTCCACTTCACCGTCTGGGCTTTGTTCCGCTTCAGTTCCTACTGGGTACCAGGATTGTTGGGGTCAAGTGCTAGGGCTATTGTTAAGTTCCTTGGGGTTTTTTCTCAATCAATTCTCTGTTTGAAAACATTATATGAGCCTTATACCTCGAAGTGTTTTTCTCCCTTTCTTTTCAGATTTTCAATAGTTCGTCAAGCTGTTGCGTGTATACGCCTCGCAGCGTATCTCCTCGGGGCCAAGTCCGCATATGTTAGCTAAGACCCTGGCACGCTTGCTCCTCGATTTTGGTTCCTCTACACAACAACCAAAGAATGGAAACGAGAAGTATATCTAAGCGAATTATCTCAGGTCTTACTATCATACCGTTCGGTCCTGCTCATGTCGCTTGCGAGACTGAACTCAGACTGGTATACCATTTAAGCGGGTTCTTGATGTTTCAGCATCAAGCTAGATGTTGTTATCCATGATGCCCATAAAATAACAAGTATTGTAAATTCCTGGCATCTTTTAAGCTTTTGAATGGCATTTCCAGAGTGCAAAAACTTTTACGAGGATATGATGCACTATCTAAAGCCATCTACATTGGGGTGAAAGAAATCTCACGTGAAGGACTAGTATATTTACGGAACTAGCTTCAGGTACCAGAGATCTGATTCGACATGGACTACCTAGGTAGACAACGTCCCTGAAGAACATCGCAAACACGTCATATCGCACAACACCAAGTCTGACCTTCCACAATCCTTCTTTGTTTGCCCTCCACACTCTGTGTATGCTGCATGCCCAACATCTCATTTTCAGGAGCCAAGAAACGAAAGACACGCCACTCAGGCTACATCTTCAAGATGGCGCGGCGAGAACCCGGTGTCACACAGCTGGGGCTTGCATCAAGCGGTCTGCTATCGCTCGTTGACGAACTGCTTCTTAACATCATCGATCAAATCGACGCTCACGAGACATTATACAACCTTGCTGCAACATGTATGCGCTTCCAGGGTCTCATCGAGCCCTATATTTGGCGATCGTTGCTGGTGCTCAAGGGGGATCACGCACGCCGGATCGCTGCGGCACTGGACAGTCGTGCAGATCGTATAGACTACATTCAAGAATTGTCTATCCGATACAGAGATGAGTACAGGGATGGGATAGAAGAGTTGAACCATTTCATGGCCTTGATGAGTAGGCTGCGTCATCTGACCATTGAAACCCCATGTCCGAATAACACAGAGTGGAGGCAGGGCATGTACTTCGATGGATGGTCGCGGATTGATTATACGAATTTACTGGCTGCAGCCGTGTATCCTAGATTGGAAATGCCACTTACGCTACCTGCATTACAATCGTGTAAGTACTGCTCAGGTGGACACGGAAAGGATGATTTGCTGATGGGTAATAGTGACATTGCATGCACATAATGCTGGTGCTCAAAAGTTCGTCCTCGGTCGCGCAGTAGCCATGTTCAGGCACCCTACCTTACGAACGATCAATCTGTCTTGCTTGAATTTCGACGGGGACATTCTTTCAGAGGATGAGCTAGCGGAGTGTCGCAAGTCGACTGCCCTGCAGTCCTTGACGTTGATTGAATGTAATGTCAACGTCCACTTTCTCGAATATGTCCTCAGCCTACCGAAAGCTCTCAAGGAACTCTCCATCGGCGAGAGACTCTTCACCTTTGACGAATGCGAACCCTCCAAGGATCCGACAACACGCACATCTTCTCCCGTATTTCTCAAGGCACTGCAACAGCAAGCAGACTCGCTGAAGAGGTTGGTGCACGTCGGTGGCAAAGTAGCGAACATGCCACCTCTTCAAAAAGACCCCAGCGGCGCTGCAGGTGCTGCAAAGCTTCGCTCCCTAGTAAACCTCGAATACCTTGAGCTGGGCCTCGAATCGCACCTCTACTACTACCTCCGCCAAGATGGTGGATTCCCGCCTGCTCTCAAGACTCTGAAACTGACAAACGCGGCCATATCCGTAAACGCCGAGCACAACATAGAAATGAGTTCAGACATTGTGTTCCGGTCGCTCAGCTCGCTCGTTACAGAACATCTTCCGTACATGCTCAACGCGGGATTCCAACTCCAATTAAAGTACCACGATCACTCCTTCTTCCGGCTTTTGGCCCAGACCGCAGCCTCCGTTACGGAACAGTCACAGCTCCTCAACAGCCTCTTCTTCGACCGCCCGACCATCTACCGCATCGCCCGTATCCTGCAAAGCTACCAGGCTTCCTTTGTGGCGACGCGTGAGACGTTTTCTCATGGGATCGCGTATATCCCGCCATTCATGTACGGTGAGGAAGTGCCGGTTGAAGAGGTCATGTATGATTCCAACCGCATGTGGCACTTCAACGGGATCGATTACCAGATGATTGACGATAGGGAACTGAGGGAGGAAATGAGGAAGAGGGGGGAGTTGGTGCGGTGCGTCATGTGTAGGCACATGGGCATTGAGGATTGCTTGAATGCGGGGGATGGGAGCCGGTGTGTAGAGTGCAGGAACAGGATGTTCGAATGTGGTTATCTGAGAGATGAAGACGGGAGGATTATTTCGGCAGTTTGAGGGAGGGAGTGGGATGGGAATTCGTGTCAGTCGAGGCTTGTCGCGATGGACTTGCGGTACCAGGATGTAGTCCCCCCTACACGCACGAGAAGCCTTTGCAATCAGTAGAGTCAATCCTTGATGGCAGCCATAGATCGTCATCTCACAGTGCGCACAAGACGCTTTTATATGCGCAGACGCAGTTTCCGAAAGTCCCGTTGCTTGCATGGTACCAGTACACAGACTGCTATGGTGTGTGTAGTAGAAGTACCGGTAGAGTACTCTAGACATCATGTGTAGACGTAGGCGTGCGTCATAGACCAATCCCACCTGCAACCGGACATACAACAACACCCGAACGGAACTATCGTACGGTAGACGCATCAGCATGGATTCCAGGCCCCCCCCCCTCCATTTGCCCCTCACGTCTACGCATTGAATCTGCACAACTACGCGCACAGGCATCCGTGTTTACTCGATTCGCGACTGCTGTGCATGCGAAGAAAACCAGCCATTCTCCATTCTGCCCGGTCGGCTACTAGGACACAGTCCAGTACTAGAGTATATGGTGTAGAGCAAGTACACTCGCAGTAGAATACCGGGTACACCATCCATCTTGCCCCCACACCCACACCCTCACCCACACCCTCACCCACACCCTCACCCACACCCACACCCTCACCCACACCCACACCCACAACCGCCACTTTGCCCACAAAAGCCTCAACGTCACACAGCCCATGTCCTCCCACACAGACACACTCTGCACCGCCATCCCGCCGATCCTTACCCCGCGGACACACCCTACGGCGCGCTAGCGTGCGCGGGCGGCTTCCCCAGACAAACGCGTCGGATGGCGCGAGTCAGGCGGGGATCGTCAGGCCAGCCATATGGCCGCACATGAGGCAAGGGGATCAGGTAGATGCGTGGCGTTTTTCTTCTCTTTGTCGGCTTTGTGCAAAGGCGGATGGGGGAGTGGGGATGTGACGGGAGTGGATGAGCTGCAGCGTGCGAGCATGTGTGGGTGCGGTACCTATGGGTAGGTAGGCAGGTGTGTATAAGGATCTGATGTGCCCGGCTATTGTGCCTTTTTTTTAACTGTCCCTGTTGCTGTTAATCTAATCGTAACATGTGCTTTCCAGGCCGCAATGGATGTAAAGGGTGATTTGCCGGCGAGTGAAGATCAACGACTGGAGCAAGTGAAAGATGCGGAAAAGACAAGCTCGCTAGATAACGAGATCGAGGCGCAGTATGTCGAAGATGAAGCCGAGGCGAATCGCGTGTTGAGAAAGGTAGATGTTAGGCTTGTGCCTATGCTTGCGCTGTTGTATCTTGTTGCGTTCATCGATCGGAGTAATAGTACGTATCATGCTCCCCCACAGAAGACCCTCGACGTCCCACGACTAACGCAGCGTATAGTTGGTAATGCGAAGATTGCAGGCATGACCAAGGATCTCAATATGCCGGACAACACACTGCAGTATAATACTGCTGTTACCATCTTCTTCGTGCCCTACACCTTACTGGAGGTTCCGAGTAATATCATCCTCAAGATGATGAAGCCGAGTTATTGGATGGCTATTTTACTGCTGAGTTGGGGCACTGTCATGACCTTGATGGGTTTGGTGGATAGCTACGGTGGATTGCTTGCCGGGCGATTTTTCCTGGGTGTCACAGAGGTACGTTCACCCCCCCCCCCACCTCTATATTCCCAACCACAACGCTCCCAAAAAAAAAAACTTACTCAACCATAAAAACACCTAAGCCGGCTTCTTCCCCGCTGCAACCTTTCTCCCAACACTATGGTACCGCCGCTTCGAACTCCAACGCCGCATGGCTGTCTTCTACGTCGCCGCCTCCCTCGCCGGTGCCTTCTCCGGCCTACTCGCCTACGGCATCGAAAAGTTAGATGGGAAAGCCGGGCTCACCGGCTGGCAGTATATATTTCTTCTGGAAGGGCTAATTCCCGTGGCTCTGTCCTTTATCATGTGGAAGATCTTGCCTGATAGCCCTGAGACGGCCAAGTTCCTGACGCCGGCCGAGCGCGAGATTCTCACCCGCAGGATTGCGAATGACGTGGGTTCTGGACAGGGCAAAGTCACGAACCAGGATAAGATAGGGAAAGAGTATATTCTGGCTGGTCTGTCGGATTGGAAGATTTGGGCTGCTACAGTGATTTTTTGGGGAAATACGGTCGGGGTCTACGGGTAAGGGAGAAACCCCCCTTTTTTTTCCACCCAATTTCTCTCCTTGATTCCCACCTCCGCTACATTGAAACTACCTCACTAACAAAGACAACTAGATTCACAGCAACGGTCCCCTCCGTCATCAACGGGCTCGGCTACTCGAGCGCAAACGCCCAACTCCTCACCATCCCAATCTACGTCTTCGCCGCCATCGTCACCCTCATCTTCGCATGGGCCTCTGATCTCACACGCATACGCTCCCCCTACATCATCCTCGGCTACTCCATCGCCGTCTGCGGCTTCATCGCCCAACTCGCCATCCCCAAGCCAAAGCACCCAGGCATCACCTACGGCTTCCTATTCCCCGTCGCCGCAGGCCTCTACTGCCCTTTCACCTGTCTCGTTTCCTGGATAGGCAATTCACTAGCGCCATCTTCAAAACGCAGTGTTGGCATGGCGTTATTAATATCCGTTGGAAATATGGGAGGAATTATGGGAAGTAACATCTATCTCGCGCGCGAGGCGCCAAAGTATACAACGGGCTTCGCTGCCAGTCTGGCCATGTGCGTGGCCGCCATTGCCATGACGTTTGTGCTGCGCTGGGCGTATGCGCGCGAGAATCGCAGGAAAGATGAGATGATTGCGGAGATGGGGGAGGAGGCGATTCGGGCGCGGTATAGTGAGGAGGAATTGGTGAGGATGGGGGATAAGAGTCCGTTCTTTAGGTATACGCTTTGAAGTGAGGGAGTTGGGGTGGGAACATCGGGGAGGAGGTGTGGGCTATGGGGGGGTTGTGGCGTTGGATTGTGGACATCTTTGAGGTCATGTTGCATGCTGGTTTGGTTCTGTGCAAGGGCTTGGGGGATGTGAGATGTTGGATTGTCTTTGCAGAGACAATCTCGGACTTGTTGATCAGGACACTTGGCTGACTACGTTATATAGTTTAAGAGTGAGAATGAAATTATCTATCTTTGTTAACCCAGCTCATTCGCTGAGATAGAAGCATGTCAAACGGCTAGTAAAACTCATACTGACTGCACAGGAGCCTGCAGGTGAGCGCCTGCCTCGTTCACCTCCACCCCGCCACGAGAAAGAGCGAATATCACACCAGCTTTGACCCTCTACACTCACACAACACACCATGAAGCTCGCGATAGTCTTCAGTCTCGTCGCCATCGTCGGCCTTGTTCTTGGTGACACTGGATGTCCAGGGTATGTATTGCGGTCACACTGAGCGTACAGTCACGTCACGTCACGCCCGAGGCCCTGTTTTCAAGCACACAGACTGAGTACACAATCCAGCTATGATCTCGGCCGCATCTCCGCCTTCAACATCACTGGCCTATGCGCTCAACGAGGATCGGACATCACGGTCGCCGTCGGATCACCGCCTCCAAAACCTCCACGCCCTTCATCGCGCCCAGGCCAGCAGCCAGCAGACGATGAACTCTGGAACCAATGCTCAAACAAGGGCTGTACCCTCAATTGGGGGACGCACGCCGACGACGCCGTTGTGGGCTCCGCCTTTGCTCCCAGTCGCAACACCGCCAAGTCGCCATACCAGAGTGGTGCAGACCTGGCAAAGTGGGGGTGGACTGTCTGGCCCTATGAGAATATCGATGACTCTTTCAAGGATCTCTATAGGACTTGGGGTATTGGGTGGGCACTCGATGCATTAGGACTCGACACGTACACGACAGACTTTGGCGGTCTCAACGCCCTGTTCGTCATCGATCATGAGAACCACCATCCCAATGCAATGTATGTAGATTTCCAGAAGTATCAGGTGGATGGTAAGTGGTATCGGGCAACAGGCGCGAGTTATTCGTTCACGCTCAATGTGGCCGAGGGGGCGATTATTGCTTTGAACCGGAAGAGTCCCAAGTACGCTGCGGGGGAGCGATCGCCAACGGTGCCGTTGGATGGTTTGCCAGGCCTCAATCAATTCTCAGACGTTGCATGGATTGGTAGGTGGTCTTACGTAAGAATCTGTCGCAACAATTGTACTCATCAGTGTAGGATGGCAAACGCGTGCACAAGTGCAAAATCTGCCCGTGAATAACCTGCGCTACTTCTTCTCCGTTGGTATCGTCAACCCGGCAACCAAGGAGGTCATCTTAAGGGCACTGCAACAGAAAGGATTGAGCCTGGATGAATTCCCCGGCTGTATCTTCGAACCAGATGATGCAGAGTTCAGTGCAATCTTAGGTAAAGTCGGCCTTGCGAGTCAAGACGAATGCTCCAGTCCAAGGACAAACCAACGAATCTACTAATGCAAGCCAGGCACACCAAATGTCCAAGGCTTCGCCTACCTCTTGATCGAGCACAAGGAACAGCTGGGTAACATGTTTATCAGCAAACTGCAGGTCTTTTATGCTGAGACGACGCATCACAGCCCATGTGTCCTTGTCCATGTTTCTCGTCCCATCTCGACTTCGGCTGCAGAAGGTGGGAAGGCGGTGCGGCGGGATAGAGAGGGAGATGTGGTGATGACGCATGAGCTTCGCTGGTAGGTGGATGGATAGCGATCAAATGGAAAGCCAGACGGTCGCGTGAGAAAGCAGTGGCCAAACAGGAAACGATCTCTGCTGGGGTTGCTCTTGCCCATGGGGAAGATGGCGACGTGGTCGTGAACTTGTCTGGGGAGGTGGTGGCCAAAGGTCATGGCTGCTCCTTCCACTTTGACCCACATGAAATGTCAACCCGCCTCTGTAGTCCAACTCTCCAGTCCATGCTCGCTCACTACACTTACACTCTTACATGTTTCCACGAAAGCGGTGGGAAAGTGTTTTCCCCTTTCCTCCCAACTCGTCTCTCATACCAGAGAATAAGTCGAATCGCCGCTACTCGCGCTAACCAGATGCAGTGCCGAGGAAGTTACCGTACAAGCTCTCCTAGGAAGTACGCTCTCATCAGCGCCAAAACGACGGCGGATACCGGAACAGACAGGCTGCCATGCCTCACACGATCGTCTCTCACGGCTCCGGCCAAGTCAACGTCTGTTGAATATGGATTTCAGCCAATGATGCTACTACCCTGAGAAAAGCAGACAGGTTCGGGCGATGCGGTTCCGTCTGCCCGCACATGGCTGTTGTGAGGAGACACAACGAGGCCCGTCCAGCATAAATATGGCGCACGCCTCCATGTCACCATGTGCCCCGGATTTGCATTGGATGCATACCCATGGCCGTTGTGCGACACCTCCCTTGCGTTCGGCATGGAGACTACTTGACCAGTTTGATGCTGCGCACTGTTGATGTGCCACATCCCCTCGGCTACCTACAGCACAACCATGAACTGCCCCGCGTCGCAGTTACATAGGGAGACGGCGCGTGACGCCCACACAACCTGGGCCATATGCCCGCAGCAAGACCTGCCGCTGCTTTCCAGCAATCAATGCACGTACAGACGAACCGTCCGCAGGATAATAGCCGCTCCGCCGACTCACCTGCTGCTTGCGGACCTAGGCAAAGTCCAAGCTTGGGGCTCTTCGAAGGCTTAAAGGCTTTTCCATGCCTCCTCGGCTTTCGTTGCCCCGCTAGCGACTGTGTCAGCCACCGCCGTCCCAACTAAACAACTCCCTTTGCCGTAACTTTACTGCGCAATCGGAACCGCGGCCGGTAGTCATAGTACCTTCCAATTCTCGTCGAGATCCTCACGCCGAGGTTATACCCACGATGATATCCTCCATGGGGCCTCCAACTTCTGCCTCCGCTGCTATCCGCACCGCATCCTCTCTGGCCAGACTTCCTCGACGACAACTTTGCAACTTTGCGACTCGCTGCCTAGCTTCCCAGACAGTTGCGAGATCGGCCCAGTACTCTAGCACTCGACGAGCCACCGCAGTCACCCTGCCCACATCCAGCTTCTATTCGCACATCTCCCAGCGCAACATGGCGTCCGCTACTGGAATCAAGAAGATCAAGGTCGTCAACCCCGTTGTGGAACTGGACGGCGATGAGATGACCAGGATCATCTGGCAGGTCATCAAGGACAAGGTAAGAAGACACGTGAAATCTAAATCAAGGCACACACTTATAGCCATAGTTCATTCACCCATATCTGGACATTGACCTCAAGTACTACGATCTTGGGCTGGAATACCGTGACGAGACCAACGACCAGGTCACACTCGATGCTGCAGAGGCCATCAAGAAGTACTCCGTTGGAGTCAAGTGCGCGACCATAACACCTGATGAGCAGCGAGTGGAGGAGTTCAAGCTCAAGAAGATGTGGCTATCACCCAACGGTACCATCCGTAACCACCTGTATGTTAGAAGCGTTTGCGATCAATTCACACAGCAGCTGACAGCTACCCCAGAGGTGGAACTGTCTTCCGCGCGCCCATTGTCATTCCCCGCATTCCTCGCCTAGTACCCAGCTGGAAACAGCCCATCATCATTGGTCGTCACGCTTTTGGAGACCAATATAGGGCCAAAGACCGTGTCATCCCAGGTGAGGGCACCCTTGAGATGGTCTTTACACCAAAGGGTGGAAAGCCTGAGGTGATCAAGGTCTACGACTTCCCCGCGGAAGGAGGTGTGGCACAGACTCAGTACAACACCACCGAGTCGATTTCTGGTTTCGCTCACGCCTCATTCAAGATGGCGCTTGATAAGAAGCTGCCATTGTACATGAGCACCAAGAACACCATCCTAAAGGCATACGACGGAAAGTTCAAGGATGTGTTCCAGGCCATTTACGAGGCGCAATACAAGAAGGACTTCGAAGCGGCCGGTATCTGGTATGAGCACCGTTTGATCGACGACATGGTTGCCCAGATGATCAAGAGCGAGGGCGGTTACATTATTGCCATGAAGAACTACGATGGAGATGTTCAGTCTGACATTGTTGCACAAGGTTTCGGCTCCCTCGGTCTCATGACTTCAGTGCTCATTACCCCCGATGGTAAGACCTTTGAGGCCGAGGCTGCCCACGGAACCGTCACCCGTCATTATCGCGAACACCAGAAGGGTAACGAGACATCGACGAACCCCATTGCTTCCATCTATGCGTGGTCGCAGGGTCTTGCTAAGCGAGGAGAGCTTGACGGCACGCCGGAGCTCGTCGTTTTCGCTGAGCAGCTTGAAAAGGCTTGCGTGGACACTGTCGACATTGACGGTATCATGACTAAGGATCTTGCGCTTGCGTGCGGGAAGAAGGACCGAGGCAGCTGGGTCACGACAAACGAGTACCTTGATGCAGTCGAGAGGAGGTTGAAGGCCAGCTTGAAGGAGAAGCTATAAGTGTGCACTTGGTAGAAGAGAATCGATGTTCATTAAGCGGCAAAAGCAAAGTTCTAGCGTCTGTCGCGCATGTGCATGGCGTTTTGCTTACGTGTATCTAGAAACTAAATTTGAAGAAGCTCGTCCCATATCAATGCACAGACTTGGGTGGAGAACAATGGCCTGTGCGATATATCGAGATCCGAGCTTCCTCGTCAGCAAAGATCAAAGACATAATTCAAGTTCCTTCAGCGATGCGACAGCTCGTGCATCTTTTTTTCCATGTCTCACAGCGTCATGCGCGTCGGGAACATTTGTGGATTTGTTTGTTACACACGTTGTTCCAAACAACCGTTGCGACTTTTGATATTGTGCCGTCTGGTGTACTAATATTCATCCCATGGTCATACTCGGCCTTTAAGGTGTGGCCTCTAATCAGTGCAGCCCAATTCAGATCACATGACGACAGCTTTCACCCACGTTCAAGCTCACGGACCGAGTATGTGTGACGCCATTGGTTCGCCCTCTGCGGCATTCATCTCTCAAATGGATCAGGCTCCAGCGGCATCAACAGACAATGCCGATCCACACTGTACTCCACCTTCCTCACCTAACAAGCAACGGCGACCCTCCACTCCAAAGTCCACACCACTGCACCGGCGCTTCCTAGAGGAAGTTTCAATGTCTCCAGCATCGCCCGCGACACCAGCAACACCTCCACAAACTCCAAGTCGCAGCCAACGCGACACTCCCACAAAGGAGCGCGAAACTCCTGCCAAAGTCCGTGCCACACCAAAGCATCGCGGAAGCCCGGCCACGCTGGAGATAGGCCCAAACGGCTTCTATTTTTCTTGTGAAATCCCATTGAGCAAAATTACGCCTAAGAAGCCGGCATCGCCCCCCAAGAGCTCGCAGGCTGGGACACCCACGAGACGAACGCCAAGCCCATTGAAGAACGTGACTCCGGTGAAGCAAACGCCTGCGAAGCGGGCCCTCGCCAAGGCGTTATTTGGACCGTCGATGGGGAAGGGCAGTGATTCCTCAAAGCATCAAGTGGGTACGCTAGTTACGAAGGGTATTGAAGATGGGAGCCCGGCTTGGACATCGAGCAAGATCCATTCCAAAGAAGCAAGAGATCCGATATCAATGCCGGTAGCATCGCTTCGCATCCCATCCGAGTGTCTGCCAGATGTGAATGAACGGGATATTCGCGATGCTATTACAGAAGCTTCATCTATCACCAGTTCCCACCAAGCACAATCACAGATAGACAGAACACATTCAGCAAACGACACACGGCCCGAGAATATCGGCCACATGATGGCGAGGCTCACCTCCGGGTCTTTCAAGACAAACGAATGGGCACGCGCGCATCCAGGCGTCGATCCAATCAAGTCGCCCGCACCTACACCATTGCGCAAGGCATCAGAGACTCTCTACTCTGGGACTCCGCCTTCGTTCCTGAAGCTAAATGCGGAGCAGCGTACAGTGACGATCGATGAGCCCACTAAGAAGGCAGGAAGTATGTCTCCAGTACAGTCACAAGGATTGCCTGTGCTGGCTGGGAAGTACTTTGATGAAAGCAAGCGCGTCAAGAGCCCGGCTGTCAAGTGCGCAGGAACGATGGCAGTGCAGAAGATGAACCCCGCTGGGTTCAAAGTCAGGACCATAAAAGCATCACTGGTAAAGCAAGATGATACAGTTGGTAAAATGGAGATAGCAGAGCCTTTATCTTGCCCTGCGCTACTATTCTCAGGCCCAAATTCTAGGTCAGACAAGGTCGAAGACGCATCACTACATCGCCTAGAGAAACATGTCCAGCAGCGCAATCCCATTCTCTCCCCCGCAAAATACAAATTCCACCCATCAAGCCAGCACCGACGCGCCGGGACAGACCCAGAGGTCTATCTCGCAATGCAAAAGGACATGGCATCGATGGGGGAGAGTTTACGCCGATCTATCGGCTCAGCACTCTCACAAAGCACCCTTAACACAAACGAACTGCCGTCCATGTCCAATGCCATTCTCATGCGTGAAATGGATGCCAAGATACCCAAGATCTCCACTCCCTCCACCGCCAGACATCGACTGACGAGGTGGAACTCGGATACACCAGCTGTCCGCACCAAACTGCCGCATAGCCTCGGGGTTGCTAAGCAACGCGCTGCCACGTTGACGGGGCCTGGTGTGCCAGTTTGGCATCCGGACTGTAGTGTGGCTGGCCAAGTGCTTCGTGAAAAGGTCGCGGCACCGAAGGATGCGTGTGATGGTGCTTTTCCTCCTGATGCGGGCAAGGCCGATGGTGCTGTCACATCAAGGTCACGGCCTGGAAAGATGGTAGCGGAGAAGAAATTGAAGGTTCCGACGACAGCGGTGGCTGCGACGCCGCGTCGGCAGAAGACTGGAGGGACTGCTACTATGACTTCTGTGCGCCTTGTGAATGGGACGCCTGGAAGGAAACAGGTGACAGGTGAACGTACCACTACGTCTACGCGCCCAGCCATCGGAACACCTGTCAAGAAGCAAATGACAGTTGAACGTACCACGACTCCTGCGCGCCCAGCCATCGGAACACCTGCTAAGAAGCAAACACCAGCTGTTCCACTCTCGAAAAGTAAACCTATCCTGCCTACAACACCTCGTGCCGCAACAAAGCTCAGAACCCCCCTTACGCCAGTGACACGCACGAAACCAGCTACGAAACCTCCAATGTCCTCTCGGAAACCTATACCCAAGACTCCACAACCTTCAGCAATTCGTAAACTGTCTAAACCCGAGACCCAAAAGCCGTATGATCCTTCTACCGACCCACGACCACCAAACTTCACACGCGGCTTAGCGTTGACTTAAGCAAGGAGGGG